GTGTGTTCCAACTTTGAAGAAAATTGCTGAAAATTACTAAAATCTAATAGTGAAACTCACCATTGGCGTTTAGTTTCATCGTTATCGCCTTCGTGGCGTCAAATCTCATGAACGTACGGTCAGTTCGTTCGTGTTAAAACTAATTTAAATGGAGAATAATGCATTTGTTGTCATTAAACTACCCGTCGGCCGGCGCCACTGAGTAAAGATGGTCTGGCGTAAGCAGTGTAGAAAAGTAAGTGATAGACCCATTTCAAATCGCAGTATGCTGTAACTGCTAACACAGCCTTAATAATTATAGCCTAGACAACAATTCGTACTGATACGTAAAATTGCCAATACTAATACTCAAAGCTTCTTTTTGCTAGCTTATATAATGAGAACAAAATTCTCGAAAACAGCTGACGGTCAAATAATTCCTAAATTATAATCTCTTTTATAAGAGTTCGTGGAATATTTCGGCGAAGAGGGTTTTAGACTTCTCTAACGTACAAGGCCGCAATCAGGGATATTATCTACTCATAACAATATTCTGTCTGACAAAATCAGATAGTGATTAATTCTTATTAAAAGTATTGGTACCAAAGTTGTAGTCAATGTAAAGAATTTTTTCCTTAAGCTTGCTTTAATTTTCTTTTTGTTTAAATGTAAACCTACTAGGTATAGTTTTTATTATAGAATAATTCATGTTTTTTTCTCATGAAATAGCTTAAAATAACAAGTCGCAAAATGTATATGCGAAAAACTCTTTTGAAAACTTTGCTTACAGATAATGTTATATTGAATGAGAATGAAACACGGGAAATGTTTTGCATTCGATTTCATTAATCTTGACATTAAAATTTAATCAAAATAGCAAATTAATAAATTTGTTTAAATATGTAACGATAATCCCGACACGGCTTGCTCAAAGCTAGCTCTCTCCATCTGCCGACCACTACCATCGATGTGCGCCGGAAAGTGAAAACCGGACAAAAGTATAAAATGACATGTAGATGTCCTGTATAAAAGTGTAAAATGAAAGTTGTATCCAAAGTATTGATCTGGCAAGAAGTTCTACCCAGATCTTTGAGTAGTGATCAAAACCTACCATCCTTTCCCGTTCCTACGATGGAGTGTTGATCGATCGTTTCCATACCGCTTAGTATCTTGGCCGAGTATTGATCGGCAGCTCCCCGGTCATTCTTCTTCTTCATGTACCATGTCCTTTCAGAACGTTGGTTACCATCATAGCTATTTTAATTTTATTCACTGCCACCCTAAATAGCATGCTTGTATCTACACCATACCAGTCTCGCAAGTTCTTCAACCATGAGGTTCTTCTTCGTCCTGGACTGCGTTTGCCTGCTATTTTTCCTTGCATGATGTTTTGTAGCAATCTATATTTCGGAGCCTCTCATTACATGTCCGAAATATTCCAGCTTTCTCTGCTTGATGCTTTTTATGATCTCAGTAGTCTTGTTGAGACGTTCTAGTATTGTGGAGTTACGAATCTTCTCCACCCAGGAAACTTTTAAAATTCTTCTGTAGCACCACATTTCGAAAGCCTCAAGGCGATTTAGATCGATTTTATTCACAGTCCAGGACTCGACAGCATAAAGTAAGACCGAGAACACGTAGCAGCGAAGTAGGCGGATCCTTAATGCCAATTTTAGGTCTCTGTTACATAACACCTTGGACATCCTTCTAAAAGCAGCTCTAGCCTGCTCTATTCTGGATCTAATTTCGCCGTGATTTTCTGCATTACAATTTAATTGCTGTCCAAGGTAGACGATTTTATCAACTTGCTCAAGTTTGATATTATTTACATATATAGACGGTTTTATATTCTGTTGTTTACTTATTACGAGTATTTAGGTCATTAGGTATTGACTTAAGTTCTTCCTTCATCCTACCTATCCAAACGCCGCTAACATATATGTCTGTTCATAGGCATCAGCGTCGAGGACCGCGTCAGTTTGTTTTATGTAAGAGGATTAGTATTTTTAATTTATGTATTGTATAGAAGTAAATTTTATTTTGTTTGTTATTTTTATTTAAATGAATATATTTTTATTTAAATGTACCTTAATCTTTTTCTGGGACAGCCTCTTAATCTTCTACACTTTGGTCTCTCAAAAACACTGTCTTTAGTAGTCTGTTTTCCTCTGATCTTAACACTAGACCTGCCCATCTTATCAGGTTAACATTTATATGTCTAACGATGTTTTCAATACCATACAGAGTCACTAATTCAGCTCATTATCTTCACCTATCCACTTTACAGTCAATTTATCTCTGTAAGGGCCAAATATCATTCTGAGAACCTTTCTTTTAAATACTAGCTACTTATTTATTTCCAGCTGATGTAGAGTCCATGTTTCACTTCCATAACTGGACGAATAATCGACATGTAAGCCTTAACTTAAAACATTTTAACAGATTAGATCCCAATAATGATGATAGGGAGTATAATGCTTTATTTCCAGCAGATATCCATGTTAAGACTTCTTTTTCTATGTGATTGTCATCTGTGATTACCGATCTCAGATATTTAACTTCTTTTATGACCACAACTTTGAAGTATTAAAGAGCTTAAATATCTGATAGAGCTACCCGTCACAAATTACTGTCCTAACAAAAGAAAAGTGCGGTTTCAACCAGCAACGGCAGACACAGACTCAGAATGTGGTGCCAAAGATAAGTCGAGGATATATCTCCTGTTCAAAGATGGATTACACCATAAAGTAGAAAGAATCGGCTTAGATTCCGAAGGAACCGTCGAAGAACTGAGATTAAGGCTAAAAGACTTTTTCAAAGATTGTGAAAAACTGACAGGAATGATCCCAAAAATCAAGACTTTCAATGAATCTGAACCCGACATAAATATTTAATGGAATTGGAATATTTAGCTCAGGAATACGAAACCATAGAACACGAAAAGACCCGAGAAAATGAAAATTCTAAAAGACACAGGGAAAATACAACCCCAAGAAAATATGATGCCAAAGAAATGTTCTTTAGAGATTGCTATATAAGCTGCCAGGGAAACGAATAATAGACTGGGGAAATAAGGAGTCGTCCCAGTCTGTGGAGCAATATTCTACTTTATACATTTCCGCCATTATACAACTAGCGAACAATGACTTTCGACTTTTTGTATCATTAAAAATCGGACACAAAACTTATAAAGCGCTACAGGAACTATTAATACAGGAAATGGTAAAAACTAATTGCACAGACATACAAGCACTGTCTGGAAAATTATAGCTGAAGAATGAAACTAGCAAACGACTGTAAGATCGATAATTTACAAAAATGAGGAACGTTCATAATAATAATGAGAAGATGACTAAGCAAAATAAACAGCACCTCGAAGAAAAGTGTAACGCTTTAAAGGACACTATCCAAAATACGGAGTTGGAAAGATTTCTCAGAAAGAAACTCAAATTTAAAAAGTTAACTGGACCCACTCACTTAATAAAATACGAAATAAAATTTAGGAAAGGATAGGAGCCAGTTAAACAGCCGTATAGACGGCATAATCCCGCAATACTACAAATCATAAACGAAGAACTAGACCAGATGTTAAAGGAAGGAACTATCGAATCCTCCACAAGTTATTGGACATTGTATGAGTGAAGAAACCAGAGAACTCATACAACTCATACTTTCGAAAAGTCGGTCAAACTGGTAGAACTTTTATCAAACGTATAGCAGAACATAAAAGGGCTTTCAATAATAGAAAAACAGACTCTATGTACGCACTTCACCTTCTAGACCATAATCATTCTTTAATGACGAATTTCAAATTCTTCTTTAAAGGCCTTAAGCTATCTTTATTAGAATTTATTGAAATCAAACAGTTCTCCCCTCCTCAACTTATTCAGTTAAAAACTATAAAGTGTAAACACATACTTAAACAAAATAAATCACCTGGGAAATGCACTCTGACCGAAACAGGTGTAGTGTTAAAATCTAAAATAAATTTTGTGGAAGTGTTGAAAACAAAGGTTTTAGTGTTTTATTGTTAGATAAAATGAATTTCCATCAAAGGAAGCTAGAGCTAGAAGCCACTTCTCAGGATATCGGAAATTATGGAGAGACTTAAATAAGCAATCTTTATTTTAACACTCGATTTAAAACAAGATACTGGATAAAGTAATATCCCTGATATACAGTTCGCATGGAACTACCCGTCCCGACTACCTTACAGATGAAAATACTGATAAAAGTAAGTTATTCTGCCGAATCAACCGCTACACGGATGGCAAAAAATTGTTAATCATTCCATTCGAATTTCAACAAGTGTTTATATTCACCATCCTGATGCATTGAAATTTGTGTAAGTTTTGAAAGATTTTCACAATAAAATCTGTACAAATATAGTAGCATTACCGATTATTTAAAAATTTTTTTGTCCTTGTATACTGTCCTGTGAATAGATTTTAGATTGTAATATTTATGTACTTGTTATTGACCTAGTATAATATAATATTTTAACAGATTCTCTCCGGTGCGGACTGATGGGTACCTGGGGCCTGGTGGGTACCTGCATGGTCTGTGCAATGTGGCTATACACTTTTTTAAAATAATCATATCTAAGCCCAACGAATATACCCAAATAGAAAAATAGCAAGTATAATAGTAAAAGTTTCATCTTTACAAATATTAACGATCTTGGTAAAGACCACACAAATACATCTAAAATAAACAATAACACAAACTTTATAAATAAAATAAAAAAATTAACAGTGACGCGTTGGTTATGAATATGCCTGTACTTTTAAAAATAAAATCTTAATATTCTTGTTTAAGAAACCAAACACGGTTAAATCTATTTTTACCAATAGTAACCGATTCATGTGATTAAAGATCCATTTGTTTTGTCAAAATTTATAATTTTTCAACATAGAACGAAATATTCTTAAAACGTACTATCAAATTTCCTTAGAATACACGCACAACCGTTTTTTCCCTTAACAGTCTCACAAATATGTAACACTTAAGATTTCTATTGATCATCTTGACGTTTGTATTACCCATACTATAGAAGAGAAGACGATAGAAGATATAAGCCAAGCGTTTATTGGTTGGGTCCTAATTGAAGCGTCAGTGTCAAAACATTTTCCTAAAAACACAAATTTTTTATATAATTTTTATATCTATGTATTTTGCAATAATTATAAGTTAACAATATATAAAAAGTGTGACATTCATCGCAAAACGGAAAGGTTTAATGTACTGATAAAACCTTCCTTTAAAGAACAGTGGCTCAATTAGTTAATCAGTAATGTACAGAATGATCAGGATTCTTTTAAGCTGTAAACTAAAGGTGCTAAAAAACTACCGGTTTAAAATGTTAAAATATTAAATTATATATTTGTAAATGACATTCAATCTTACAAATTTTTTTTAACCTTTAACAAGTAAAAGGAAGCAACGGGATAATTTTTAAATATTTTAATTTATTATCTAACTATTTCTGCAAAAATCCGAATGCCACCTCTCACATCCAAATTTAGTTTTTTTTTTTCAAATCCGTCCTGGTATATTGGGCAACTAACGATGTTCACGTTAGCAATCCTCACATAAACGATTAACATTTCGGGTCATTTTGTTCACAATTTTCACTTTGACTTTTACAAGTCCAAGAGCTGAGTTATCATAACTAATGTCAACTATTACTAATATTTTTTATATAATACTAGAAACTAAAACTAATATTAACAGATGTCTTACGCCTATTTCGGCGATCAAATATACAATTTTTTTCTATGGTAACAAGTTTTTTCTATGGTAACCGTTCTGCCTGTCTAAATATAGTAGCGGTGTCTGGTATTTCACACCAGACCTTTATATTTCTTATCCACAAATGTTCTTTTCTACAAGGTCTTTCTTCATTTTCCCTCAATTGTTCCTTGTAATATTAGTTTTAGTATCGATTATCGGGTACCGTATTCAACAATTGTCTTTCTACGCCATTCCTTCCCAAAATGTCTTCATTTGTGAGGTGAACAGTCCACGGAACATGCAGCAGTCAATGAAAAATCTACAGCTCGAAGGGTTCGATCATATTCAAAGTCCTCACTTAGAGTGACAAAGTTTCGACTCCATACACGAAAGTAGCCAAGATTATAACATAACATTTTAGAACAATAAAATGATTATATCACTATCGATAGTATACATATAACAATCTGTTAAACTTTTTACCACGGAATAATCTGAATATAAACGCAATATTTTTCCGTAGCCATGTGTAATTGATCTATTATTGCATTTTGGTGGTTAGGTACAACGAGGGCATTAAGATTAATGGCGTGCCAATAAGTAATTTTCGATATGCAGATGATACTGTTATACTGGCCGATAACATGGAAGATTTACAGTTGATGCTTAATAGAGTAAATATAACTGGCAACCGATTTGGACTGAATATCAATAGAAAGAAAACTAAGTTTATGGTGATCAGTAAGTAGAACATTCAACATATCGACCTGAATATTGAAGCCGAACGTATTGAACACAATCGGAGTACACCTATTTAAATATCTAAGATATACAGTAAATAATAAGTGGGGCCCAGACGTAGAGATTAAGATCCGAATTGAAATAGCAAGATCCAAATTAATCAAAATGAGAAAGCTCTTAAAGAACCGCAACCTAAGCGTTAACCTCCGATGGCGCGCCACGAAATGCTATGTACTTTCTACGCTACTTTACGGAGTAGAAGGGTGGACGTTAACAGCAGCAACTATAAAGAAGTTAACGGCTCTAGAAATGTGGCTGTATCGACGCATACTGAGAATACCTTGGACAGACAGAGTGACCAACACAGAGGTATTAAGACGAATGGATAAAGAAATGAAATTGTTAACAACTGTTAAAAGGAGGAAAGCGTTATACATGGGCCATGTGTTCCATAATGATAAGTACAGTCTGCTACAGCTTATCGTGGAAGGCAAGATTGAAGGTACAAGAGGTTTGGGCAGAAAGAAGAAATCCCGGCTAAGAAACTTGAGAGAATGATTTCAAATACCAGAAGCTGCGAACATAATACATGCGGCACAAAACAAAGAAACCTATCGTTTGATGGTCGCCAACCTTCGGTAGAAGACGGCACATAAAGAAGAAGAAGGTGGTTAGGTATCAGATGTTTTTTTCCAACGAGTGGTTTTCATCTGACTATTACTAATTTTTCTAATATTTGATAACATGGGAGGTAAACTAATGGATATGTAAGACTTGACTTTCAGTTTTAGCCATTGATATTTTAATTTTTACAGATACGTTGCAGCCCTATTTACTATTTAAGGTAGCTCCAAGGCACTTAAATTCTATGGCTCCAAGGCACTCGTCCTATGGCTTGATTATTTGTTTTTACTGATTATTATCAACTTTTTGGTATTCTCTACATGAATTTCGTTCATTCTAAGTATATAGTTACTTTATTCGTGGTTTAATTGTGTTACTCAATCTCTTTACTTACTTAATCCACTTAATCTCATCATTGCTCTTCTCGGCTTGGCCACAAAATATTATCTCATATTAATCAAAGAATCCTGTGTGTCACACACTTATTTACTCACAGATCAGTGAAAGTTTGAAAAAAAAAAAGAACTCTATAGGGTGATAATTTAATATGATTGATAATTTAATAGAAATTGTCAACTACAAGGACAAGTTTGTTTAACAGTTCAAATATGTCCTCTACATATATTTTTAAATCTTTTTTTCGTATGTAAACGTATAATATACAAATGCCATGGCTTACCTGTGCTACTAATATTAAATATTAATTCACCAGTAATTCCCGGCTTGATCAACCGGTTGCAGCTTTCAGCCGACGTGGAAAACATTACTCCTGATATAACCTCTTTGTACATAAAACAAAATTTTCGAACACCGAAAGCCGAGTTACCTACTGGCGAGGTGATTAAAAAGTTTGTTCCATTTTCTTCCCATCTGCCGTGGCAAGAATAAGCTGAAAATACAGAGCTGATATAAGAAACATTAAAAATAAGAGTATTGATTATATACTATAGTAGAAGTCACAGTAAGTTAGAAGCCAGTGCAGGTAGAATAGGCAATGTATTTCTTACGGGAGAACGACCGACCACGTTGCCGGTTTGCCCCGAGCGGCGCATCAGGACCGGATTTAAGAATCATAGCACTGGAATATACGATCACACAACAATTGTCTACGGCTGTATAAAAGACTATTATTATTGTTTCTACTAAAGTATGATTCAATTATAGATGTATAAATAACAGAGTTACATTGTTGAACTAAACAATAACATGAAGAAAAATACTATAAAAAAAAGTAAAATATACCAGAAACTCATTGTCGGTAGCTGATCTATATTTATTAATTTTCAATAGCTTTCATTGTAAACGCATTTTTAGTGAAATAGAGATCATTATAAAGTTTTTTAAGAGAAGCGAATCAGTTTTAATCCCAATTGTCCACGCAAAGCAAACATGTCTCTTTGTCGATTTTGGTAGTGGCCATTAGACTAAAAAGTTGGCATAACTATTTATAAAAGATCAGTTCTATTTCATTTTCGCAAGCGAATGAAAGAACCTACCTCATGGAGCCGTTGCCAGTATCTGTCGGGAATTTCAAACAGGGTATGACTCTTAGTGTGCAAGTAAAACATGTGTTGAATAAGGAAAAGTGTCCATGATTTTTTTTAGAAAACATACCACCAACCGTCGACAGCGTAATAAACAGAGTTATGGATGGTGAGGACCTACCAGCTTTTACAAAAACTACATTTCATAGGCTACTAAATGACATGGGTTTTGAATATGATAAAAGAGGTAGAGATTCAGATAATAGCAATCCAGACAAATAAAACATTGAGGAAGAAGGATAATGTAAACCTTGCTTATACCGATGAGACTTGTATTAACGTTGGTGCTTCAGTCAAAAATGACTGGAGGGACACAATGCTCAAGAATCCACGAGATGCCTTCACAAAAGGGCTCTCTACTGGACTGAAAGCTCCAACCCAAAGAGGTCATCGGTTTGTTCTTCTTTATGCTGGAAACGAAGCAGATTTTGTGTCATGGGCCGAATTGACTTTCTTGTCCAAGAAGAAAACCGCTGATTACCACGACGAAATGGACGAAAATCTATAGGAAGAATTTTTTGAGAAGAAATTACTTGCCAAAAGACAAAACGTTTAAAAAACGTTGTCGTTTTGGATAACGCGTTATACAACTTCCGCAAATTTGATTTCGTTCAAAAAAATTGTGGAACAAAAGGCAAATCAAGGATTGGCTAATCAAAAAGACATTTTTTTTCGAAAAAATGAACAATAAAAAGTGAATTACTGGATAATGTATAAAAAATGGATAAAAAAACTGGATAAAAAATGCCTGGATCAACAGAAAGATGTTTACGTCTGTTTTATCGACTATGAGAAAGCATTCGATACTATCAAACATGACAAACTCATAGAACTATTACGTCTTTCAGGACTTGACACTAAGGACATCCAGATTATAAAAAATCTATATTGGAATCAAACAGCCTACATGAAGAATGGACATATGGTGAGTGAAAACATAAATATTTCTAGAGGGGTAAAACAGGGCTGTATTCTTTCGCCACTGCTTTTCAACCTGTACACGGAACAAATATTTCTAGAGGCACTAGAAGAGTACAATGAGGGCATCAAGATTAATGGCGTACCAATAAGTAATTTTCGATATGCAGATAATACTATTATACTGGCCGATAACATCGAAGATTTACAGATGATGCTACATAGAGTTGCTACAACTGGCAGCCGATTTGGACTGAAGATCAATAGAAAGAAAACTAAATTTATGGTGATCAGTAAAAAAAAATTTCAACATATCGACCTGCATATTGAAGACGAACGTATTCAAAGAGTACACCGATTTAAATATCTGGGATATACAGTAAATGACAAGTGGGACCCAGAAGTAGAGATTAAGATCCGAATTGAAATAGCAAGGTCCAAATTCATCAAAATGAGAAAGTTCTTAAGCAACCGCAACCTAAGCATTAACCTCCGATGGCGCGCCACGAAATGCTATGTACTCTCTACGCTACTTTACGGCGTAGAAGGGTGGACGTTAACAGCAGCAACTATAAAGAAGTTAGCGGCTCTTGAAATGTGGCTGTATCGACGCATACTGAGAATACCTTGGACAGACAGAGTGACCAACACAGAGGTATTAAGACGAATGGGTAAAGAAGTAGAATTGTTAACAACTGTTAAAAGGAGGAAAGCGTCATACCTGGGCCATGTGTTCCGTAATGATAAGTACAGTCTGCTACAGCTTATCGTGGAAGGCAAGATTGAAGGTAGAAGAGGTTTGGGCAGAAAGAAGAAATCCTGGCTGAGAAACTTGAGAGAATGGTTTCAAATACTAGAAGCTGCGAACATAATTCATGCGGCACAAAACAGAGAAACCTATCGTATGATGGTCGCCAACCTTCGGTAGAAGACGGCACATAAAGAAGACTGGATAATGCAGCAGCATTTAGAGACGAGTACGACAAGTACAAAATTGAAACATTTGCGGAAGAATATGGCGTTAAGATTTTAAGTCTGCCACCTTATCATTGCGAGCTGAATCCGAGTGAGATAGTGTGGAGTCAAGTGAAAATGTATGTGGCTTCAAACAACGTCGATTTTAAAGAAAAAACGTTAGAACGGTTGATAAAAGAAGCTTATCGACGCGTATCTAAATGGCAGCGGTTTAATTATGTGAAATACGTGAGGAAAAAAGAAGAAAAATGTTTGCGGTGGACAATTTGCACAAAGATATTAAATCGGTGATAATTTATATATGGTCAGATTTGAGAACAATGGGGCTACCCACTGACTTAAACATCATGGACGACCGTTCTAGATGGAAGCAGGTTGTGCAGTCAGCCAAGACCCACCCCGGGTTGTAGTGCTACCAGAAGAAGAAGAAGAAGAAGATAATTTATATATGAGATGATTTAAAGGATAAGGGCGATGTAGATATGGATTGCGATTAGTATTAATTAACGAGATATATCTCAGATTTAATGCTCATTTGTCTTTTTAGTATTGTACGTACAGTACATTTCAGTTATGATCTTCTTCAGTATTTTATGTGTTTATATTTATCGTGTAATATAAGGTAAAAAACTTGCATTTTTCTGTATATATGTATAGAAATAGAAGTCTTTACGAGATATTAGATATTTTATGTATATAGTCATCTTTTTTTAAATTATTTTTTTTTGTTTATTCTCTCATTTAACTAAGTTAAATTAATGAGTAAAGAATTTTGAAATGAAGTGTATACGGTCCAGATTTCTCAGTCTATCGCCAAACTACCACACACCTACCACTGTGCCGCATCGCTGCGCGCCGTAAGACCAATAATTCATTCTAACTGTGGCTTCTACTATAGTCACAAAAACGTATACAACAAACTACCATATCGCTGGTGGCTACAGTCTCTCTTATTTCGCTGTCGCTTACGTTTGGCGCAAGCAGTAGGCACTAGCGACTAACGCACTGGTTGGGTAGTCTCTCTTGTTGATTTAGACGTATAACAACAGGGTGCAACATCCAACAATAACAACTGGACATTTGTATGCTCAAGCAACAAAAACACCAGAAACAGAAAATACCATCATATTTTCCAAACAACAACAAGATGGACTAATCCAATGGTGAGAGAAATAGTCACTAAAGTGGTGTATGGAGCGATAAGGAAGATAAAGATAGCACTAAACTAAGGTACGAAAAAAGGGGATACTTAAAGATAGGCTTCTGGAATCCAGGCGGTATAAGAACAAATGTAAATGTTTTGGACAACGTAATCAGCAGACAAGAAATGGACGTCGTAGCAACACAGAAAACCAAATTGACGAATAGCATAAACATAAAGTTTCCTGGCTATGACATCTACAGGAATGATCATAGAGCAAATTCATGAGGCACTGCTATCCTAGTGAGAAAAGGAATTCCACACACCAGAATACTAACACCACAACTAAACACTATCGAAGTAACTACAATTAAAGTACAAACGAGGCAAGAAGATATCAGAATCAACACTGCGTACGTGAGGCCACGAGATCCTATAATAGACGACGATCTGAACACGTTCCTGAATAAAGAAGGGCCGTCCATAATAATAGGAAGCCTAAATGCGAGATCCCCAAACTGGAACGATAGAGCTACGAATAAAAATGGAAGATTAACGGAACACCTATCTAGCAAACCAATAATAGGGCCCATCGAATCGTCACATTGTATCGCCACAATGCTCAATCCACCCATCTAATAATAAAGCAGAACACTTTAGCGAATTACAACTACTTAGACTGATAGAGTACATAACAGCTGAATTTAATGAAAAACAGTACACAGGAGCAGCGTTCCTGGATGTAAGCAAAGCCTTCGGCAGAATCTGGCCCAAAGGCCTAAAATACAAAATGAGAGGCTATGGATACAGTGAGACCATGACGAGACTGATTTCCTCGTACTTGAGCAACCGAAGCTTCAGGTACGAATAGGACAAGTACTATCCAAGCATGGAGCTCCGGAGACTGAAGTGCCACAGGGAGCAGTCCTGTCACCCCTACTGTACACAATATACACTGCAAGAACACCAGGAACACTAATGATCAGCCTTTATGCAGACGACATAGTGATTGTGGTCAAAACACAGAAACTTAGAAGTAGCAGTCAACAATCTACAGACATCATTGGATCACATTGAAGAATGGTGTATCCAATGGAAAATAGCAATAAATTTAGAAAAGAGGAACATCTGTTAGTGCAAGATTATCCCATCGAATGGAAAAGAGAAACGAAATACCTAGAAGTTATCATGGACCAAGGCTTAACCTTCACGCAATATATGGACACAATGATCCAAAAAGCAGCAATAACAGGACTCATATGTAGAAAAAGCTTCTACTGCGCAATTGAAATGAATGCAACTGAAAATGAGCAACCTTCCAAAAAGCATCATACTTCCAATAATCACATGCATCTGTCGCATGAGGATACATACGTAATTCAAATGAAAAGAAAATACAAGCAGCCCACAATAACATCCTCAGAAAAGCAGCAAATGTACTCAGATTCTGAACGCTTTCTGTTTAGAAAACTGCAACAAGTAAGGGTAATAGATAAAATGACAGAAAAAGCCAGAATTAGGTTTACAGAATTAGACAATCATCCAAGCCTGAGCCTGCGAGAGATAATAAGATATTATGCGTTCCATCGATGGAATCACAAAAGACCAAAACAGCAAATCTTGGTAAACACATAAAGCCTGGATAGTTAGTAGCTCTACCAACAGAAGAAGCCTCAGCACGCAGCACTCGAAATTTTATTATTTGATATTTATATTCAGAATAACCTTGAAAAAAAAAATAATAAAAATATAAAAATAAAGGCTTTGGTCACTAAAAAAATCAAAAAATACTAACAAAAAGGCGACATCCATAAAAAAAATTAACAAAACCCCAAAACCTGGGCACGAAAGGCATCCTCGGACAACGAGTCGTCGAACTGGGTGCAGCCCAGAGTGGAGACTCGAGGCCCGAGCAAGCAATTTCAGTTCGATGACACGTCACTAGAGGAAGCAGGAAAACAGCGAGTCACTCTAGCCTGCATTAATCGGATTAGAATATCGTGTTGAAGATATTGTACCCAGGACTTCCACACGAAAAGCATTTGGCTAACAGTTATGCTCCTATCGTGCACCAGAGTGCTATAAGGGGGAAAGGGATGGCCTGCAGCATTGGTGCTCGGGGGAGTGACTCCTGTTTTTAACTCGAGTTAATACACCTCGCTCTAATGAATTGTTACACCCAAACGTAATTCTTAGGGGTGAACATGTCTCACAGGCTGGTTTACTTAAATTGCTTGCTTGCTTGCGACAGTACAGCTGATATTCAACTTAATTAGGGGAATTTTATAATAATGGAGCATATACAGAGACAGATTTCTCTTCATACAGAGCAAAAATTATAGAAGAGCATTTTAAAATTGATGCTACATTAAATAATAAAACTAATGAAATTTATATGAGGAGAGTTAAATATCTACAATGGTTTATATTTTATGATCTACAATATTTTATACTCAGTATTTTTATCTTTTATGGAACTTACTAAAAAATTATATTTATAATTTATGGAAACAGCTGTTTTGTGGTATTCAAAGCTGGTTGCTATTATATCCCACACATTGCCCCTCTTATTTTTTATATCCCTATCATCGTTATTTACAGGATTGTAGAGCTATGCTCTCTCAGAAATTAGCTCTATAAGTCTAGCATCGTTGTAAGCCTGCATTTTTTAAAAAGCAAAACAAATATATAAATTTAAAGTTTTATACTATAAACAAACACACTTCCTTCTTCTCATAGAACATGTACCAATAACCTAAAAACGCTCAACCTTTTAATGTTTTGTAAATTGCCGCATGCAGTCGATACCAAAGATATTTCTATTTATGTAACTACAAAGACTATAACGTGTCATACTGCGTGGGGAGAAGAATAACTCTACAATGGATGACATACAAAATTATTTTTGTTTGAGTGTCCACGAAAACTATTATTTCAATAAAAGTTCCGGAGAAATTAATTACTCTTTGATGAACGACGGCGAAAACAATTACTTATTTGTTTATTCTGTCAGCAAAGTGAATTATTTATTGTACAAACAACTAGAAAACAATAACAATATATACTTACAGGTGATTAAATTGGGCGCTGTGCAATCCATAGTAAACTCCATAGTATCATAACTAACGCAACCAATATTTAGGGTCGAAACCCCATTGCTATCACAGTCAAAGTCTTCGTCGACGCGTTTAACTCGTCTCCTCGTGTACTCTAATTCTTCAAAATATATAGACCGCCTCTCTTTTCGGAAATAGAAATTTGAGTCAAAGTATTTGGGTTCCTCTCGTTGAGAATATTTATTGAGAGAAGTTTCTTGCTTGTTCTGTATGAGATTGTTCACTTCGAACTTACCCATAAACGGACAATGTTGGGTTTCTCCAGTTGTAGCTAAAAGATTATTACGTGAAAAATTAAATGTTTTTATCTATGTATACATCATACTTCTCGGAAATAGATCTTTTAAAGACATTATAATTTAAGTATGGATGCAATAGGTTCATAAGATATAAAAATTATTTCAAAATTGATAACTATGATATACAATTTTAAACTAAATAAGTGCGGCAAACTTCAGGGGGTGATTCTGCATGAAGAAATAATCAGAGTTTGTTATATAAATATTTGTTCGCAAATGGTGGTCTCCATTACAGTTGGGACATTTGGGATCACCTATCGTGAGGCATGCAGTAGACCTATGTTGTTGTCCACAGTATGGACAGATAATTGATTTCCGATTAAAAATACAATTTTGAGAACGATTTCCGAAGTGGAAATTGAAACGTCAATAAACGTATTTTTATCTTTAATTGTGGCCTATTCCCAGTTAAATAGTAATTAATTCATTTAATCCTTACCAATTTGCTATTTGCTGTTTAATATTGTAATTATTTTCAATATTCATATGGCAAGGAAATATTTTAAAGCATATGCAGTTACTAACACAAGGTTCGTTATTTCAGTTTTTTTAGCATAATTCAATTTTTGTACACCTTTTTGGGTGAAGACTTTTGAACCATATGGTCGATATATTATTCCAATGGTATGGAACCATTGGAATAATATACACCAGTAACCTATGGGAACTCAACATATCATTGGAGTTTAATACCAATATGATCAACTGGAACTAACAACCACCAACTAGGTACATTCTGCAATCCGGTTTAAAACAACAGATGCCATAAGTATTATTTAAAGATATTTTTTTATAAATCTGTAATCTAAGATAAGACGTTCTCATATCTGAGAGACTAAGCTAGACGAAGCCTAACAATTGGCTTCCACAGAAAGTTGCGAGTTTTATTGTTATACATTGGCTCCCAACTTTCGGAGGTCCACCTTTTCTGATGGGTCGTTAGATGGTTACAAATTAGCGACAATGCCTAAAATTCAGACCTTGAATGTTACAATGGGTAATCTCCCAAGATTGGTTATGTCCACCTTTGTTACAATACTAAAGAAAGTACACGCAACGGGGTGTTTACATACTATATAATACAAAGCATTGTCTTTATTATGCAAATAAAATCTTCCTGAAAATAATACGTGGAAGGCTATAAAAAATTAAAACAAAATTCAGATAACATCCAGTTCAGATTCAGGAAAGGAGTGGAAACATGAGAACCACTTTCGCTTTTAATGTAGTAGCACAAAAATTTGTAGGGATGAAGAGGTATGCGCGTTTCATTGATTTTCAGATGGTATTCGACAGAGTAAGACATCAGAAACTTGTAGGAGTGCTAAGAGAAAACAATGTAGGATTTGTACCATAATTACCTAATCTTTTTCGGTATCAAAAAGCGACCGTCAAAATTGACAACTATGAAACAGAAAACATAAACATTGAAAGAGTTGTTCGACAGGGGTGTGTGTTGTTTCAATTGTTCTTCAACATTTACAAAGAATCATAGAATCAAAAAAAAAATAAGGAGAAGGACGATTATCTCCTAATCCTATAGGAGAAGGAACCACAAGAAGAAGAAGACCTAAACATGAAATATTTGAGAATAAAATTAGATAATAGTAAATAAAATTAAAACTTGTATTTACAGTTTTTAAAAAGTTCTTCGTAAGGTATATTACGTCGCAAAAGATTTGAAATTATTCTCAAAATATGTTTTGATTTGTTAGGTACAAATCGGAATGTCAAATATAAAGTATTTTAGCATAAAGACGGTAATAAATTTTACTTTGATGCAGGGAATCCGCAAGCCGCTTACACGTATTTCAACCTCTTTAGGTACCATCAGAGCGAATATGCAGCTGCTCTGAATCGAAACAAAATCTCTCCCGTCGTAGGACAATAATTATAAAAATAATGAAAGTATTTTCTTGAATGAAAAAGACAGCAAATATTTGATTTCACGCAAACAGCGCCTATGTATCTGTTGATACGTATTTCGACCTAATAGGTCTCATCAAAACAGTTATTCATAGGTGTTCTCAAAGTGAAAAATCAATATTTTCCGTCATTTCTGTCATCAACACTAAAATGGCTTCAATACAGACGTAATAGCGACATCTAATAATAAAATCCGTAAAATAGTTTCGAAACACAATTTAGATTTCTGCTTATAATCTGAGCATTCTAAAAATTGCAAGTCAAACAGACGTTTGATAAAAGATGTTATCTTTTCTTAATCTAGATGTTATTTTTGTCTCTTTATTATATATTATATAACATCTTTTATCAACGTCTGTTTGACTTGCAATTTTTAGAAGGCTCAGATTATAAGCAGAAATCTGAATTGTGTTTCGAACCTGTTTTACGGATGAAAGTACTTTCTTTTAAAATTGTAATTTATTCCTAATAAATCAAGCAGATAACATAGAAATGTCACAAAAATAGTTATGGAATCTGTTATTTACAATTTAAGGTTATTATCGATACTTACTAACAAGAGTAACAAAAGGCAATGTGCTTTTATCGAAGAAACCAGGATTGCAGGCATCTTCTCTACGATTTGTTTGCGCTCCCATCTGCATTTCCATAACATGGACATCTCTGCGATAAAACGCGATACAAATATATCCATTTTGGCTAAAAAGTAGACAAAATAAATAAAGATATCTACATCTGAACAGAAGTAATACAAATACATAATTAGTCAGTCAAGTACAGTTTTCTAATTATAATTATTTGATTAAGTGTGGAAGTATCATAAAGTATCGGCTGTAGAAAAGATCCATAGAAAAAATAGGAAACTTTTTTTGGTCAACATAAAGTTGTAAATATCGGTGCCGTACAAAGAACGAAATTTCAGGTTTGATGTGAATATAATTCTACGGGCTAAAGAATTTGAATACTTCGGCAAATGTTATTTAATTTAGTTCCACTGCTGTTATTCATTATCTTATGGGCCTTTCCCTTCTTCTAGGTACCGTCATTTCAGTTGTTAATGCGAACTTCGGCACTTTTAATGATGAATTCGTTCTACATGGTCTATGTATATTTGTACTTCTTTGCAACCTTCCATTATTTTTGATACATCCATATATCCTGCATAGTATTTTTCTCTCCCATATTTCAATTTTTTCTAAATATTTTTTTAATATATACAGTTGACAGTTCCATAATGTGACCGTTCTATAGAGCCTCTCTTTGATATTCCTTGAGAAAGGTTTGAATTCTACATCTGTTTTCTGCTACTTTCTTTAGTCTTCTAGTTAGTACTTTTATCTTGTTCGGGAATCAGGTCATTCGCGAAGGCTAGAAACTGATGTTTTAGAGTGTATAGCGTACCTTTCCTGTCAATATTACTTCCTTTAAACTATTTTCTAAAACAAAATTAAATAGTGTCGTCTAGAAGGGGTCTTATCGTCTTTCACCTTGGTTTGTTGGGAAGCTTTGGCCATTTACATAAAAAATATTTGTCGTCTCTTCCAGTGTTAACTTTTTTAATATTATCAATGTTACAGGAATACTAATGTTTTCATATATTTATATAATGGTCTGTTCAATAAGTTTTGCGATTCGATAAGGAAAACACACTTTTATGTTTTGAAATACACTTTATTATTCAGTATAGCCTCCTTGGACATCAATACATTTAAATAATTGATGGATTCGACCGGTACTTGATGGAAATTCATTTTATGTAACAATAAAACACTGTGAAGAATTTTAAATTTGTCATTAAAAGAATGATTATGATCTAGAAGGTGAAGTGCGTATGTCGAATCTGTTTTTCTATTATTGAAAGCCTTTATATGTTCTGCTATTCGTTTATTAAAGTTCCTACCAGTTTGACCGATGTGCGACTGCCCAAAAACTTTGGGCGACTACCCAAAAACTTACATCGGTCAAACTGGTAGGAACTTTAATAAACGAATAGCAGAACATAAAAGGGCTTTCAATAATAGAAAAACAGATTCGCCATATGCACTTCACCTTCTAGATCATAATCATTCTTTTAATGACAAATTTTTCACATTTAAAATAAAGGCCTTAAGCTATCTTTGTTAGAATCTATGGAAATCAACAAATTAAAAAACACAGATATAATTCTGAATGACCAACTTGAGACAAACAGTTCTCCCCTCCTCAACCTATTTCATTAGAGACTATAAATCGTAAACGAATGCCAAAAATAGATAACTTGAGAAAGGCAATCAGCCGAAACAGCTTTAGTGATAAGAGTTAAAATAAATTTTGTGGATAAAGTTACATCCATTTGTTACATCAATACATTTGTCTGATTTTTTTTTTAGTATTGAAACAGGACGAAATCACTAGCGGCCAAAACTTTAAACGGTGGATGCTTTAACAATTCGAACTTTAATTCATGGATTTTAGCCATTGTCAACATGCTCATATGAAACGGTGAATTTTCCTGATCAAAAACTATGTTTTCGTCTGGAAACCGGGTTTCTTTTGTCACGATTTTTTTTCTTTAGCTGGTCTAAACATTTATAATAATATTTAGAATTTATTGTTTGATCAGTTTGCAAGTAATCCACAAACAAAATTCCTTTCGTACCAAAAAAACTGAAGCCAATGACTTTGTGGCCGATCTTTGGACATGAACTCCTTTTGGAGCCGAAGAACCAGGTTCACACTTCCCTTTAGCCTCTTGTTTCGATTAAGGATATTGGTGATAGACCACAGTCTCATCCATAGTGATGAATCTAGGCACAAAATCCACTTTATCTTTTTTAATTGCCGGATTGCCAGACTACAGTACGAGCCGAAAAAGGTATCCATTGAATTCTGGCAGGCAGCGATGGGAAAAACAAAAATCCATATATTAAAGAACCAAAATACAGTTTTTGGCTCTCGAAGAAAAAAGAAACAAGATTTCAGATCCCTGGTTCAATTTCCTCCTCTGTACTGCTGCCCCTTCTTCTTGATCACTCCAGAGATTAGACAGTGTACTTCTCTCCATTATCTCTCTGCTCTTATCATTATGTTTATCATGTTGCTATCATCCAACCTGAAGTCCATTTGCCTCTCGAAGTCTCCCCTCTTATTTGCCCATCTCTGGCAGTTGAATAGCTAGGTCGGAGCGTCTGGCATCTCACAAACAGTACAGTCCGCCGAGGCATATTTACCTATCCTATTTAAAGGTGCCAAAACTCCCATGTCCCGTCAGAAACTGCATCAGGAGCTAGCAGTTTCCCGAACTAATATTCTCACCTCGGCCTCAAATCGGAAATAAGCTCCTTCGTCCACCTTGCCTTTTCGCTATCATTTGCCTATTCTCCCTGCCACTCCTCTATCGTTGTTTCTTTATTTCCATCATCTATATTTCTATGCATCCTTCTCGTACACACCCTCGGTCATTCTTTGCACAATAAGACGATTTGCACAGTCCTTCTGACAGCCCGAGACTCCGAGATACTTAAACGATTTAACCGGTGCAACCACCACCCCTTCCACTATAAAGTAAAGGAAGGATTTGTCCTGGCTTCCTTTAAGAACTACCACCTTAGTTTTCTAAACTGCTAGCTATAGATCGTCCTCTCTGATTCATCTACTATCCAGTTTTACATCGAATGAAAAAGAGCACAGAAATAACAAAAACGATAAAAATTCGAAAGTTACAATATTTCGGCCATGTAATGGTACATCCAGCGAGGTATAACCTTCTATACCTCATAATATAGGGTAAGATCGACAAAAGGAGAGGCCCAATTACCGGTGTTGTTGCTATTCTTGGTCGTCCTTGACGTGGATAGACTTGAAGGCTTATACGACCACGTATAAATTTAGCAAACAATTTTTCTACTATACTAGTTGAAGACGAAGAGTCGTTATATACTTTCAACATTCGCTTATAAATTTCCTTTGATTTTAAACTTTCCATAAACAAAAATTCTGCCACTCCATGATACCTAATTTTTCCATTAAATCCAAATCCAAATTGAATTTCCAAAAAAATACTGTGACATATCGGTAGACTGAAATGACATATTGAAATAAAGCTTCACGTACGTTCATATGAAAATGGTACCAATATAACAAAAAAATATGCTGGTAGCAATGCCCTCTCTTATCCAACCAAAAAACTTATTGAAAAGTCTATTATTTCATTTCTATCTATCTATTGTATGCCTGTTTGAAGTCCAATAAACTGCGTGCTGTAATACTGGTAGTTACTTGTAATAGCTGCTTTGTTAAGTAATTTAGGGAGAAAAGGTTACATATTTATTGAACGAAGTCAAAGTTTATCCTGTTTTTTCAATTGAATGTAAAAGTGTTTTCTTGCAATCACACAAAAGTGTGGCATCAATGACCATGACAATTTACATTTCAAGCTATAAATATATGATTAATTATTCAAAATTTGTATAATATGCAATCTTTATTAAAATAAATATTAAATAATACTTTACATTATTTAAAATATTAATCCATAAAATTTTAATTGATTTTTCTAATATACAAATATCTAAATAATCATTCTCATTTTATTTTAAAAAAGAAGAACATATAATCTTCGTTTCCTGTAGGGTTAAATTGTCAAACTATAATTTTTCATATGATTTATTAATTGATTATAGAATCCCTCCCTGTCTAAGCCCCTTACATTCCAAGTATTTAAAGCTATCCCATAATTCTTTGAGGTGTATACCTTGCCTTGATTGTTTATTGCCTGGGTCAATCCGCGTTTCAAGGAAGAAATATACCAAGGAATAGCGAATTGATTTTCTGTTTTAACTCTAGTTTTTAGAGACCTCTCTTTTTATTACCCTTCTTTACCCCGTCTACAGATTTCGCTTTTACTGTGAGATTCTTAAATCTCATTTCCATATTTTCTGTCCTTTATGTATTTTTCTTCATTCATTATGTCACTGTCAGATCATGATTTGTAGAAATTGTTTCATATCTGAGAAGTCCTAATTTGCTCTTCTTTAACATAATCTTGTTTTTCTTCTCAATACTCGCCATCTTTAGTAAACAAGTTTAATTACCCATTTAGACAGCTATACAAATTTTTACATTTTTCTCTACGAGGTGTTAATTAGGTTTGTTTTTTTTTTAGAACTATATTATCGGTTGTATACAGTGTGTCCGTAAAGTATGGAATAAATTCGATATTTCCAAATGAAAAGCCTTTTTAAAAAAATCTAAAAGACGCCGACTTTTTAAGTTTAATGTTTTGCAATACACTTTGCAATAAAATTTCATTATACAAGGTGATACACATTGAGGTGATGACGTCATCGGCTCTTTTTTTAAATGTAACACCCTGTATTTTAGTACATTTTAGATCGATAAAAATGAGCTGTTTCCAAAAAAGTATAAGACTTTATCTTAAATATTCAAATTGTAGCCCTGATTGTATTTGAAAGTAACTCAAACGTTGTACAAATTCTTGTAGAACCTTGTTTATGGTTTCTTGAGAAATATTGTTTATTTCTTTACTAATTCCTGTTTTTCAGTCTTGCAGGTTTCGTTTTATAAACACCATTTTTTAAACGACCCCTTATAAAATAATCCGAAAGATTAAGGTCTGGCGACATCGCTGGCCATTCAATATGTCCACTTCTTCCAATCGACCTGTTTGGAAAAAAATCATTTAGGTACCTTCAAATATCTACAGCATAATGCGGAGGCGCACCAATTTGTTGAAATTATAAACTTTCATCAAAACCTCCAGGATTAATTCTACTGGGGAATAAATAAATTAAAGTAAGTACAAGATACCTCCTTAAAAACTGAAGGTATGCTGGCCTGTTTAAATTACCTTCGACAAAGTAGGGATCGATGATTCTATTTCTTAAAATGCCAGCCCATACGTTTATCTTTTGCGGGTATTGTGTATGATACTCCAACGTCCAGTTGGGGATTTCTTTTCCCAGTATCTACAATTCTGACGGTTGACGCCATTTAATGTGAATGTAGCCTCATCAGAAAAAATAATATTTTAAACCAAGAGAGGGTTTTGGTGGCAGTTATCCATCATTGTTTCGAATTTCGTAAAATTGTATTCTTTTATCTGGATCATCCTTGTTTAATTCCTGTACAAGTGTTCATGCTATTTCTCAAGTTTTATTACTTTGTGTACCGTTGTTTTGCAAACATCGAGATCATGACTAACCTTATGAACAGAAGTGTGCGCATCTTCTGCAAAAGTAAGTAGAAGATCTAATGTTGTATCATAATTTATAGAGGAACCACCTGATTCGCGTGCATTTTCAACGGTACCAGTTTCTCGAAATTACTTTTCAATCTTACTTACTGTTGACTGCGTTATGGGTCTTTCTGGATATTTATCATTAAATACATTACACACATCCATCTGAGTTCGCGATTTGTCTCCATACCCAATCATCATGAGTATTTCAATTCTTCGCTTTACACTCACATTTAATTCTACTTCAAATTAATTCTAAGCAATAATACAAAACATTCACGAATTAATACATTTATTTTACTACTTAATTCTCCATTTTTTCAATTGATAATAAATAATTTATTTTCTGAGGGCATATCTTTCAAATTATATCCATTAGACCCCGAGTGTTAAACTTTTTTGGAATCAGCTCATTTTTATCGATCTAAAGCTACGGTTTGTTAGAACAGTGCACAGCGCACAGAAGAATCTGCTGTACTCGACTCACGGCAGTTTTGGGTGTTAGATTATTTCGCATAAACATTCTGTCACTCTGAAAACTAATATTAAAATGATTAAAAAATAAATTAAAATTAAAATTATTAAAACTAATATTCAATAAATAATCTTTATAGAAATTAAAAAGTCTTGAGATTTAATATTTCAACTTTTGTTTAGAAAGTAATGACAACAATATGACAGATGTGACGTCACACTCCGGCTGTCCATTATAATTTCGGTATAGACAATGACGTATAATATATAGACTCGGTGAACGCTTTAAAAAGTGTCCAAAACATGAATACCTTTGTTATTGTTTATTGTTTTGATACGAAGATGCACGAAGTTCATGATTTCTTACGAAGCATCACGAAGTTGATCTTGTGTTTGAAAACATCATGGACGTACTCCATTTTGTGTGACAAGCAAATTTTATTTTAAATTGTTGATAGTTGTTTACTTACTATTTTAGTAAAATGCCATACTATTTTATCAAAATAATTATTTCTCTTATAGACGGGAACAAAAAGAAATCATAAATATTTAATTTTAATTAAAAAAATAATTATTGTCATTAACATATAAATGAGCACGCCGCTGTTCTAATAAACATACCTTCAATCTTGAGCCGAGATCTTTCGGACACTCGATTCTATAGCGAGAATAGGGGACTGCGTAGTCTATATATTATACGTCATTGGGTATAGATGTGTACGCTGTCAGCTCAGCTGAACGTTTGAGTCCAAATCAAATCGCAGTTTGATTCCAGCGTACACCGTCGACGTACACGGTTATCAGTCTGCTGTGCGCGTTGCGCGTAGCTCAGCAGAACCCATCAAACCGTTATCATAGAGAACCATTTCTTTGATTTTGACGAACGTGCGCGACGTTCGACTGACTGTGAGTTATGCGTGACCATAGCTTAAAAATAGCATAAAATATAGGGAGTTACATTTAAAAAAAGAGCCGATGACGTCATCAACTTAATGAATATCATCTTTTATAATGAAATTTTGTTGTAGAATGTAGAACATTTAACTTAAAAATCGACGTGTTTTAGATTTTTTAAAAAGGTTTTCCATTTAGGTAATATCAAATTTATTTCATACTTTACGGACACACTATATATTGTAAACTCTAATTTTAACTTTAATTTTATTTTCGTAAAATTGTATTCTACTTTTTATCATGGTTATGGTTTTTTTCTTAGAGTTTTTTTTTTCAAACTGTTATTTGCCTTATTTAAATCGTTTATTTTCTATCTGACCTCCTTATTGTTCTTATTGGGCCGTCTCCTTTCGAATATTAGCGATTCAAATGGCAATTACATCTTTGAAAAGTGCTACACGACAGATATCAGCCAGATAAGCGGTCAAACCATCTCCTCAGGACTTTCAGCCACGAGTTCTGGCGTATTCCAAATGATCTATGCCTTGTACTTTACCTTCCAATATGATTTGAAGTAATTCATATCTTTCTCCTCACAACACATGACTGAAGTATTGTACTTTTCTCTCTATGATTATTTGCTCCCAAATATTTTGGCAAAAGTTACCTGTTCTATTATTTTGTCCATTGGCATACAAATGTACGTTATTCGTATCTTTAAAAATAATAGAATTTTAGTTTAGTTTAGCCTCCCTATTGTGTGTTGATTTTTGTTTTATTTCATTTAATGATTCTTTTAACAGACTAATCGTGGATCCCTGGTTTCGAACTGGTAATACGCATATCTCTACAAATTTTTATGGTGAGTGCTGCATCTTTTGGAAGGTTTAAAGGGCGATAATGACTCATTGTTTTTCCTCGTTTGTTTGTCGTCAACTGTTTGTATTTCCTGTACGTTAGCTTTTTGGAGTTTATTCTTCTTAAAGAATTAGTGAATTAGTAGTTAGCTCCTATCTAAACTCAGGATGACGCAATAGCTGATACTAATTTTTATTGAAATGCAGAGTCGTATTCCCGCGGATATTAAAAACATTCCGGCAACATTGCACAAACTGGTACAGTTCCGTTCCTCATCAACAGCAATCCCCTTTTTCCTTTTTTACGTGCCTTTCAACGAAGGTCTGTGTCGAGCGTTCTCTATTACAGGAATTTCTTCATTCCTTTTCTTTGTAATGTCTATATGCTCAGATTTAGATTTGTTTCGCTTTATTCGCCATTTGTTGGTCCAATTTGTTACTTGGTTAATGTGTTGTAATTACATGATTAATACATTGTATAATTGTTTATTTCTTGAGAAAGCTTAGTCTGTGTACCTTTTTACGTTTATTGTAATGTCTATGTGTCAATAAACTTTTGTATTATTTTACATTATGTACATATTTACTACAATAAACTCATGCGAAACACAATACAAATTTGTCATATTTATCAAAGCATATGGTATATATTTGTTTTTATGAACTCTTCAAGTTAAATAAAAATAAAAATACTCACCATCCCATAGTGAAATGCGTAATTAAAACCACGGCACTTTCATCTCTGGTTGCCTGTTTGAGCTGCACGCATATTACTTTCATGTCTATGCCAGTCGAATTGGTAATTCGCAGCGTTGAATTCTTGTGGTGAAAACTGTATGTGGACGAATAATCTAATGTGTGCCAATGATTCGAATTCGCTATCCAGTAAGGGAAGCGGCATTTATTCAGAGGGAGAGCTGAAAACAAAATTGTTTAGAACACAAAGTAAAATCGGATTAAGTTGATTCTAATCGGGCGCAAAAATACAAGGCATAAATGTATATTTGTTATATTTGTGTCGATTTTACACAATGACACAAAAAATTGTTCTAATTCGTTTTGTGTTACACTGTTAGCATTGTGATAAATATATCATCATATCAGCAATATTGTAGTAAATGCTATTGATTGCATACTTTAGAAAGAAAATACAAAGTTTAATCTGAGCTATGCACTATGTAGAAATATGTTAAAATAGTACACTGAACAACGCGTTACGGTCAAACCCAAGGATCGGTAGAAAGAGCCAATTAGGACATACACAATATGTTAACTGCGTGGATGCAAGATTATGATTTAAATAAATGGTCAGAAGATTTGCCGTTTATTAAATTCGCCAAAAACTTAGCTTATCGCGAAGGAATGCGACATAGTCCTTATGAAGCCATGTTTCGCGTTAAACCAAAAAGGGGCCTAGCATTGGACATACCTCTATTACGGTGACATTAAAAAAATTAAACTGAGGAATAACTAGATGTTTATTTGAATACTTCTTAAGAAAATTGGATTGGAATAGATCTGCAAACTAGCACGCCTATATCTCAAGCACGGACTGATTCGCAGTGTGGCACTTCTGTATCTCAAGAAATAGGCGTTCCGTAGCCCAGTACGTCTTTATCCCAAGTACTGACTGAACAGCACGAGCAAATTTCTTTAAATTATCAGCTGCAAAACATAATATTTTTTTCTTCAAGTAACAAAAATGTTGCAAACCTCAGAAAACTAGTTCCATCCAGCCCAAATAGGTGATACTGTAAGAAGTAATGTGCCTGATATTAAACGTGGTCGCAGAAACCCATCAAATGTATTAGCCGTTGTTTTTGAAATAGAGGATTCTATTATAAGTTAGCAAACAAAAATTGTACATTCAAGCAACTTTTCCCACGTAACCAGTTCGCCATTTCTAAAGAAAAATTACTTTTCATGGATGAGATTACAACTGATGAAATGTTGCTAAGACAAGCAGCTTGTGATAAGTTGAAAAGGGGAGGACAAGGGTGTGCACCTTGTAACTGAAAAAGAAATTGTTTCACTGCCAAATGTATATGTAAAAGGCAAGGGTCTTTGTGCAATTCGAAGTGTCATGGTAAATAAAGTTGTTGGAACAAATAAGATTATACATAATACATTTCTTTTGTTTTGTTTTCGTTTTTTTTTATATATCTTTGTGATGTTGATGATATTTTAGTTACCAATCGCTATTTGCTTCAAATTACATTTTATTAATTTTTAACTTTATCAATCTTTGTATAATGCATATTTCTAATTTCTTTTAACAATAATTATATTTATTTAACCTAACTAACGAGGCTGTGACGTCCTAGTGTTTTCTTGGAATAAGCAACGCACCGTTTACTGACAAACGGCTTAGAGCAGATAAGCTGGTAAGTGGAAGGACACTCTGTTGTCCTGATTGAGAAATTGGTCTCAAAGGCGCAAGAAGAACCAGAAAAGTGGTCAATGGCATCAGAATGCAGAAGGCAACGAGAAACCACTGCATTAAAGGTCCCTCATGATATTTCTAGTAAAGCTATCATGGCAAATACAACTAAAGTAGAAAGAGTTACTGATCATAAAATATGGTAAAGATTTGGCAGGGTGGTGATTCATTTCTAGATCACAGAGCCTCCCAGGTCTTAACCCAGAGAAACCCCTGTGACAGAACTGGAAAAGTGTCTCTAAAAACTTGAGAGTTGATTATTAAAATATGTACCTGGAATACGAAGACAATGTATCAGGCTGGAAAACTTCATAATATCATTCAAGAAATGACTAGACTTGGAGTAGGTATAATGGGCATAAGCGAAATGAGGTACCCAAATAGTGGTGCTTGTATTGTTGACAACCACATGGCATACCACTCAGGAAATGATGACGGTCAACATATGTATCGGGTTGAAGTAATCGTATCTCCTCAAATGCGTCAATTTGTTACAAATGTTATACCTGTTTCTGAAAGATTAATAATAATCCAACTCAATACTACTTCGGTCAAATTAAATGTTTTATACGTGTATGCCCCAACCAGCGATAAACCAGAAGAAGAGGTAGAGCAATTGTATGAGTTGTTGATAAATTCACTTAAACAAATTAAAAAAGAAGATATAACGCGTTGAATTCATTGGTAATTTTGATCTAAAGAAGAGAAATGAAAGGGGAGAAAGACTAAAACTATTTGTAGAGTAAGAAGATTTTGCAATACTAAACTAACACCAAGACGTTTGTATACTTAGATATCTTCGCAAGATCAACCAGGAAACATATTATGGAATCAAATTGATTACATATTGGTGAACAAGAGAAGTATCATGTTCTTGTTGTTGATAAATTTAGATTTAGATTTAAAAAGGTTACAAAAAAGAAAAGTAACAAAAAATATGATATGAGAAGACTAAAGATAAGGAAACAAAAAGAGGCAGTGGCACGGATTCTTTCCAAAAAGCTAAGTAACATGGAGCAAACATATAATCTAAAAGAATCACTCCAGAATATATATGAAATATACTGCAACTCATGAAAGAAAGAGGAAAATAAAAGAACAACAACAGAATGTATAAAAATATTCAGAGACAAAAAGAACCAAAACACGAAAGACCAAAGAAAATTGGATAAAAACACAGTGTGAAGAGATTGTTGGAACAAAAACGCGATACCTTTAACATGCATAAAAAGGTAAAACAAGCAGTTGGTCTTCAAAAATCCAACACAGCTAGCAAACTGTATAGGGGAACATCATCAAAGATAAAAATCAAGCAATATGCATATTTACCAAATAAATAAAAGAACTCTTTGATGATATTAGGTCCAAACAACCTCCATGTTACATATTACGGAGCAATATCACAACGGATAAAAGCAATATCACAACTAAAAGATGGCAAAGCTCCTGGGCCTGGCATTACATATGTCGAACTCATTAAGCTCTTTAATACCGACGGTACTTAACGACCAACAAAAATATTTAATGACTTATATTTAAATATCAAGATCGTGGTTTAAGTCAACGTTTATTGCTCTACCAAAGAAAACAAAATCCGTATGCTGCAATGGTTTCCGGAACATCAGCTATCAAAGGATATATAGACTATGCAAAACAAATCAACCGTACACAGTTTGGTTTTCGGAACGCAGTGGGTATGAGAGAGGCCCTCTTTAGCATACACGTGCTATTTCAATTATGTAGAGATGTGAGTTTCGATATTGATGTATGCTTAATTGATTACCATAAAGCAGTCGATATAGTAAAGCACGACAAGCTGATGGAGATATTAAGAAATATTGGAATAAACATCCGTGATCTAAGAATTATTAGCAATCTTTACTGTAATAAACATCGTCCATCCGTACAGAGGCACGAGATTTCGATGATATCAAAATCAAACATGGGGTCCGACAGGAATGTATACTATCACCCCTGCTCTTCAACATATACTCTGAAGAAATCTTTCAAGAAGCAGTAGAGGATGTTAAAGTTGAAATTCGAATTAACGGAGAATGTGCCAATAACATCAGATACGCAGATGACATGGCGCTATTCGCTGACAGTTATGAAGCCCTCCAGGAATTAATGAGTAGAATCACAGAAATAAGTAACAAATATAGACTTTCACTAAACATTACGAAAACCAAATGTATGATTATTTCTAAGAAGGAACAGCAAATTGTCAAGTAGTCCTAGTTCAGAGATGCCGCGATGTCAGTTGTGATGTCGATATTTGTTTTATTGACTACGCCAAGGCATTTGACCGTTGTCAGCACCAGAAGATGTTCGCCGCCCTACAAAAAGTAGGACTGGATGAGAAGGACATACGGATCATTATAAATTTATCCTAGATTCAGCGTGCTTAAGGTCGAAGACCAGCTCACCGACCAAGTGTAGATCATTCGAGGAGTAAGGCAAGGCTGTGTGCTCTCGCCTTTTCAATATATACACTGAGAAAATTTTTACTGATGCCCTCACAAACCTAGAGATGGGAATACAAATAAGCGGTGAATACATCAATAATATCCGCTACGCCGATGACACTGTGTTACTAGCAACCAGCCTAAATGATCTACAAGCCTTATTAGACCGAGTGAGAACTGTGAGCATAATGTACAGACTAGACCTTAATATTAAGAAAACTAAATTCATGATTGTCAGCCGTGCAAATTTGGGTCCTGGGGTACTAATGGCAGGTAGAGAAGAGATCCAGAGAGTCGACAGATTCACTTACCTCAGAACTACCCTCAAATCACAATGGGACTACGCTCAAGAGATTCGATCCAGAATTGAAATGGCACGGTCTACATATATCAAGTTGAGATCCTTGCTGTGCTGCAGTGATCTCAGTGTGGGAACCAAGATGCGGATAGTGAGGTGCTACATTCTTCCATGAAGGAGAGATTATGTCACTGGACCAATTACATTCAACAACTATTTAATGATGAAAGAGAAGAACTGTCATTAGAAATCACCGAGGATACTGGACCACCAATATTAAGAGAAGAAGTCATCTATGCCATCAACAACACAAAAGAGGGTAAAGCCACTGGACCAGATGAGGTGCTCATCGAATTATTAAAACTCATCGATGAAGATGTTATTGATGTAATGGTTGAACTCTTTAATCTAATATATCAGACTGCCACAATCCCCAGACAATGGCTGCAATCAACCTTTGTAGCAATTCCCAAAAAACCAACTTCAACAACTTGCTCAGATCACAGAACAATAGCTTTAATGAGTCACGCACTTAAAACATTTTTGAAAATAATTCACAGCAGAATTGTTAAAACTGTTGAATATGAGATTAGTGACACACAATTTGGCTTTAGAAATGGTATGAGTACAAGAGATGCTTTGTTCGGCTTGAATGTGCTGGCCCAAAGATGCATGGACATGAATCACGATATGTACTTATGTTTTGTAGACTTTGAAAAGGCATTTGATAAAGTTCAACATAAAAAGCTTGTAGATATATTAAAAAGCAAAAATATTGACAGTCGTGATCTGAAAATTATATCTAATTTATATTGGAATCAAACTGCCAAGGTAAGAGTTGACAGCCAGTACACCGAAAATATCAAAATACAGAGAGGAGTCCGCCAGGGTTGCGTGCTGTCCCCACTACTTTTCAATGTCTACAGTGAAGCGGTATTTCAAGAAGCGCTCTTAGACTCAATAGAAGGTATATCTATCAATGGAGAAGTTTTGAATAACTTACGTTTTGCAGACGATACAGTAATAATTACGGATAACAACAATGATTTACAGAACGTAATGCAACGCCTTAATGAACGCTGTCATGAGTACGGACTGAAAATAAATTTAAAGAAAACTAAATGCATGATCATGACTAAATCTGCACATGCAAATATCCAATTGACTATTGAAGATACTGCAATTGAGAGTGTTAATAACTATAAATACTTAGGAACATGGATAACATCAGATGTAGACCAAACCAAAGAAATTAAGACACGTATTGAAATAGCACGTACATCATTTATTAAACTTAAAAAGTTTCTTTGTTGTCGGGATATAAGGTTAGAACTACGCCTGAGAATGCTTCGATGTTACGTGTTCTCTACTCTTCTTTATGGTCTGGAAGCTTGGACACTAAAAAAAGTTCATCTGAATAAGTTGGCCGCCTTTAAATTTTGGTGTTACAGAAGAATCCTACGAATATCATGGATTCAAAGAATGTCAAACATGGAAGTAACTAGAAGGATAGGAAATGAGGCGGAAATAATATTAACCATTAAAAGGCGAAAACTTGAGTACTTGGGACATATGATGAGAGGGCAAAAATACGCATTATTACAACTTATTATGCAGGGCAAAATCCGAGGAAAGCGAAATGTGGGAAGACGAAGAATATCCTGGCTTAAGAACTTGAGGGAATGGTTTGAATGCAGTAGTGCAGAACTTTTTAGAGCGGCAGTCAACAGAGTCCGCATAGCTATGATGATTTCCAACCTTCGATAGAAGATGGAACTTAAAGAAGAAGACATTCTTCCAGTGTTACTATATGGAGTTGAAGCCTGGACACTGACGTAAGCCACAGAAAAGTGGATTAAAGCCTTCGAGATGTGGATATACAGGAGTATACTAAAAATATCGTATGTGGACCATGTCACCAACGTTGAGGTTCTACAGAGCATGAGAAAAGAGAAAGAAGTGTTTAATTTAGTGAAACAACGTAAGCTTGAGTAACTCGGGCACGTTATGCGGAACGAAGAAAAATATCGAATTCTATAACTTGGTATGCAGGGTAAAATATTTAACAGAAGAGAACCGGGACGCCGTCGTATCTCGTGGTTAAAAAACCTCCGACAATGGTTTGGGATGCCAACATCTGGACCAAATAAGGCACTGAAGAATAAGTATATTATAATTCGCCTCTGAACGAGACAATAGTCCACTACTCATGTTTTTTTAAGTGTACCTTAGTTTTTCACTTGATATCAGGTTGATGTCCTTTATGTTCAAAAAAACTATCGCTGAAGAACCTTTAAATGACCCTATTCTATACAATATTCTAATTTAGTTATTTAAATTAGAGAAATAAAATATCAAACATTCTAGTCTTGCAAATAACTTCCACAGAGTTCACTAAACATAAATTTCATTTAAGTATATAAAAATTACTTTCACATAAAAATACACAAGTGGGTTAAAAGGTTTTATTTCTTTATCATTTGGTATAACGTACTCAACTGCGATGCAATATTGATACGTATTAACATTAATATACTCCGTACTTCAAAATAACTAAGCAAGCTATGAAGCTAAGTCTCAAAATTTTATTATTTAATTTTTTTTATTTTTCGGCGTGAGAGATGAAATAAATGTCTCGCGCTGATTGAGGAATTTTTAAAGAATCATAGTAAGTGTTTATTGACCCGACATATTCTATCCTTTCTTTACTTTCACTCTTTTATACTTATTTTTTAACTCACCTTTATTTATGCATATCACATAAATTTAATAAAGCCTCTTATCTAAATACATGTATTTAAAAATATTACCTTTTTTTAGTGTCATGGTCCGGCTGCCTTCTGTAGCACTAAAAAGACCATTACAAGTAGCATCTCCGCTCTGAGCTACTCTGTAATCGACCCCATCCAGAGCTTCTGAAGCAGCGCTGGCCTTTTCGTAGACGAAACATCGGTATCGGTCTTCATTGGAAGTTACGTGACTATGATAAATCTTTCCTACTAAATATCTGGAGCTGCCCTCCTTCCATAAGGCTAAACATTGCAATTCTTCAACTAAAAAAATGGATACCTCTTAAAAATCTTTTATCTAGATATTATAAAACATTATTGTATCTTTTGACTGTCTGCAATATTAGTAGCAATGACATAGAGTAGTCTGCAATAGAAATTTAAGGGTATGCACGAGGAGTTCAAAATAAGAAGAGTTATTGTTTATTCTATGTTTTAAAATACCGTTTATTGAAACTCTCTAAAATAAAAAAAGTAGTAATCCCTTGTGTAAATCAAGCAGAAAAATGTTCAATAAGAATACAACAGAAATTCAAAAGAAGTTTTTTCGGATGATAATTAAGGAAGACTTAAAGAAAAAAGTTGGTTAGTTGGTCAGAAAGGATAATATAAATTACTAGAACACAAATCAACAAAAATTTAATTCATTAGCTGTATTCCCTATAGTAATAATAGTTCAATTGGATCACCAAATTCTGCAAAGAGACAGCTTTATTAGAAAAATAATTTAAGAGACCAAACAAATCAATATTTAATGAACATTTTTTTATCTACATTTCAAGTATATAATTTAAATATATTATGTTAATTTAGTTATTTATTTAAATATATTAGTTATTTACTCAAAAGTCCACTGCTTAACACAGGCCTCTTCCTCGTGTTTCCAACCCCATTTACCTCGCGCCACTCATCCATTTTTATTTTGTCTTCTTAAATCGTCAGCCCATCCTGCAGATGGTCGACCGATGCTTTTCTTGTCTTCCCTTGGTCTCTTTCCAATGTCCATCTAGCTATGTGTCTTGACCATCTCTATTTTAGTCAGTCACCTTGGTTTTTCGCCCGACCTCTTCATTTTTTATTTTGTCTCACAGAGTAATTCCTAGCATGGATCGCTCCATTCTTCACCGTGTGACTCTCAGTTTGGTAGCCGATGATTTTGTTAAATAAGTGTTTCTGCTCCGTATATCAATACTTCGAGGAAGCATTGATCAAATATTTTTCGCTTCAGGTATATGGGCAGCTCAGTTTAAAAGTTTAAGTATTATTTAAGTAATAATAAAAGAAACAAGATCTCTAGAACAGGAATTTTTCGAAAGAAAAGAACGATTTCCGAAGTCGAAATTGAAACGTCAATAGATTATTTTAAACTTCAATTGTAGATTATTTCCATTAAAATAGTGATTCTTTTATCTTTCTATTTTTGACGGAATGTAACAGTGTACCACTGGTATGGGTTCTAGGTCACCAGAAAATACATTGGAATGAAAGAGCTGATGATCTGGCAAAAGTAGCATTGACTACAAAATACCACGGTCCAGGTTTGGCCGTGTTACTACCAAAAAGGTTCAGCCGCGACTAGGAAAACGCCTGGATCCGAAGACAACATACCTCTCACTGGAAAATATACCTGCGAGATATGAGACCGCAGATGGCATTCAAAAAATTTTGTTGGTAACTTTAGCATCATCTATCCACTTTAGCATCATTTCTAGCTACAAAGCCTACTCCAGCATATATCACTTTATATCTAGCCTGGATTGATGAGAATGAAAAAATCAATATAACTAAAATCACTTACTTGCACTTTCTGACCCATGAACATCAGGACAGGCTTGGTAGCTCAAAAGCAGTTTACTTTCCTCTATGCAGGTGTCTATACTGGATACGGGATACCTGCACTCCCCATGGCCTCGATTGTAAGTAAATGTAAAGGGGCCTCTGAAGGGACAAGGAATTGGTACTGCGTTCTCTCTGAACATCGAGTATAAGAGGGCATCGCCAGTGATTAGGCCACAGAGAGTTGGAAGTACTTCACGACTATGACAATAAGCTAAAAAAATTAAAGGGAATAAATCATGAGCTATTTCAAATATACCTTTATACTCCTTGCTTTATTTAATTGTATTTTTTATTGGATCTAAAATTAAACTTTGATGTCTGAGGAACTTCTGGTGTAAGTTGAATGATTTAAACTGAATCTACATGCTCAATGAAATCGGTTATCCTTGAGAATTTGGTCAATATTTAAGTGTTTGTTTTATAATATGAGTGATAATAATAACAATTAGTTATCTCTAAGTGAAACCATAAATTGTAAAAACAATATTTATTTGCTAAAATATAGGAAGCGTTTCGATATCACTGTCATCATCAGCTTTAAACATAGGAGAACCTAAATGGACTCTAATTTGAAGAAAAGTGGCTAGGTTGTCAACGCAATAGGGAACATCTAATTACTATTTGAAACCCTTGTGGATTATTAAAATGACTCAAAATGTCTAGTTGCTCTCTTATGGATACCATTTTGGATCACTCTCCCCAAAAGTTCTTCAGTACCAGATAATGAAGAACATCTTAAAAAGATAAAACAAAAGCCTAAAAACGCCTAATCTTCTCAATATTTTTTTTTTATTCAAACTATGTATAACTTAATTTAAACATAATAATTAAAAGTTTACTATATTGCTAAATTAATGTCTTTCTAGTCAAGTGTTTTTTGTCTTAGCTCTGCAACATTTGCTGGTTAGTTTTTATAAATTCTACTTTTTAATTATCTCCAATAAAAATATTATTTAGCACAAAAATCAGCTGAACGAGGAGGCCCTTCAATACTACGTAAAATAGCAAACTCTTTTCTGGGAAATATTTATTCTAAATTACTTTAGTAGTGTAACAAAATATACACCAAAATAAACTGGAGTTCCACCTTACTGAAATTATATCCCATTAAAATTGGCTCCAAGCTTGTTTTTAGGGCAGGTACAATTTCGTTTCTAATTGCATTTCCTAATTATCATCATTTTTGTTAACATTCCTAAATATACTCAGTGACATTAGAAGTGTTACACCCAGAAGAAATAATTTCTTGAACTTAATTTTTTGGCAACAGAATGACAATATTTAAAATATGCTATGACAACAATACCCACGTTTTATCTTTTCTATTTTTGTAAAAATAAAGTTTTTTGTAAAAATAAAATCTTTAAGTTTTTTTGTGAATTGACCGATTTGTGAAAACTGGTTCGTATAGAAATTTATAGTTATTATTCCTCAGTCTTATTATATTTAGTATAAAAAAATATCTCGAGTTAGAAGACACCAAAATTAACACCATTTTAGCGATTTTCACAGGAGTAGAATTATCGCGTATAGAGATATAGATTTGTCATATCGCAAAATTGGCCGTTGTGTTAATTGTACGGCAATGGCGGTTATGCATGTCTGTCGTATGTAGACAAACGAAGGTAGAGGAACACGAAGAAGACCAACTTGTCAAATGACGCGTACCACAGAGCGTCAAGATAGGCGCTTTAAATTACTGGCTCTCAGACCGTTTTGCTACTACGCGGCAACTTGCTGACCAACGGTTTGGAGTAGTAGGTAGACCTGTTACCTGTTAGTATGCGTACACTATACAGTCGCATTCGAGCCTTAGGACTGATTTTATTACGCCCATGACTAGTGCTCTCTTTTTTGCTCCGAGATTGAAATCCTAACGAACATGTATGGGATATGATGGAAAGGAGACTGTCCACTTTGCATCATCCTCCACAGACTCTGGCATAGTTAATACACTAAGTTTAAGTTGCTTGAAACGAGCAGATATCGATCATCTTATTTTGTTAATGTCTAGACATATTCAGGAGTGTATTCAGCTACGAGGTCGCCGAAAACATTATTATTATTTTTTTGATTACTTGTTAATAAAAATTCTTGACAACGTTATACATTTTCTCATTATACATCCTCCATACATTTTCCTTAGAATTTTTCTGTCGAAACGTCTAAGCAGTTCTTGGTCGTTCTGTGTAAGTGACCACGTTTCTGACCCGTATGTTAACACTGGCCTTATTAGTGTTTTATATATGGTAATTTTAATTTTTCTAGGTAGTTTTGGGGCCATCTGTTTTCTTAAGCCATAATAGCACTTATTGGCAAGCACTATTCTTCTTTTAATTTCTTCGCTGACATTGTTGTCTTTGGTCAGCAGCGAGCCCAGGTAGATGAAGGTGTTCACACCTTCCAGTTCCAGATCATCAATTAATAGTCTAGGTATCTGGTTGCCTGACCTAGTAAAATACATATACTTGGTTTTCTGTGCGTTTATTCTTAATCCCATTATTAGTCCAGAGTCCCTTAATGATCCAAATGCTTCGATCAGAGATTCCGTGGACCTATTAATAATGTCTTTGTCATCTGCATATCCGACCACTTGTACAAATTTATTAAATATGGTGCCATTAGTATTAATATGGCACTCTTGAATAACTTTTTCTAGTGCAAGGTTAAATAAGAGATACGACAATCCATCTCCCTGTCTCAGTCCATTTTTACAATGGAAGGGTCTTGAAAAGTCGTTTTGGATTCTGACTATACTCTCTACGTCTGTGACTGTAAGTTCCGTTAGTTGAACAAGATGAAGCGGTATTTGAAATTCCACCATAGCCTGTAGAAGTTTTGTCTGTTGACTGAGTCGTATGTGGCTTTGAAATCCACGAATATGTGGTGGGTGTCGACTCCGAACTCAAGTGTTTTCTGAAGAATCTGCCTGGCTGTGAAGATTTGATCTGTTGTTGATTTATTTGGTCGGAAATCACACTGGTAGTTCCCAACTATTTGTTCAGCATAGGGGATCAATCTTCTGTACAATACGTTGGACAATACTTTATATGCTACGTTAAGTAGGGTGATGCCTCTATAATTATCACACACCATCATATCTCCTTTTTTGTGAGGAGGGTGCATTACATCTAATTTCCAGTCTGCGGCGTTTCCTTCCGTAGCCAGTTTCGAATATTAGTTTCCGGATTTATATATCAGATGTCGCTATTGCGCCCATATCGAAGCCATTTTAGAGCCAGTGCGTTTATGAATAGCCGCATCGTCGATTTCTTTTAGAATAAAATACGTATAAGCGGTAATACAAACCCTCTGTACGTTAAATCAAATCTTAACTGTCTTTCCTTTTATCGTTAAATAATTTGGCTACTTCACTATAAGATCTTTTTCTGTCGCCGTAGCCCCTCATCATTTAAACATTAATTTGCCTCTTTTTCATTAAAAACTATCTTTATTATAAAGCTTTTAAAAACACATAAAACAACTATCAGCTTTGGTTATTAATACAATTTATTTTACAAAATTTTTAATCAACCTCAAGCTATTGTTAGTCTTATAAATTAATTTTAAAATCACAACATTCTATATTTACTGAATTAAGTATTTAAAAATATTTGGAACTAAAGTGTTTTATTTATTTAAGATCTTCGTGACTAGATAAAATAAAAAGTGTTACATATGGTTTAACTCGTATTGAAGTAAGGATTCCAAAAATAATACAGTATAAAAAGTGTTGTATTAAAAATATCAAAATAACTAATGATATCAGACAAATAAAACTAGGCCTAAGAAAAGTTAAGAATAAAAAATCTCCAGGCAAAGATTGTGTAGTTACTGATGCAATTAAAATCGGAGGCATTTGCCTACTTAAGAAAATAAAAAACCTTTTTAACATGTGCCTTTTGGACAGTAATTCTATTGTACAAAAAAGGAGATCCCCATGAATTAGAAAACTACACACCTATAAGTCTTCTTAATCACCTATACAAACTCTTTACAAGAATAGTAACGAATCGTCTTGAGAAAAAACTTGATTTCTACCAGCCAATAGAGCCAGCGGGATTTCGTACTGGATTTGGAACAAATGATCACCTATAGAGCATTAAAACGGTAATAGAAAAGACTATCGAATACAATCAATTACTCGTTCTGGCTTTTGTATATTTCCATAAAGCCTTTGACACGGTAGAATTTGACAAAATCCTGGAAGCACTCCAAGCATGCCACATTGACTACCGATATACAAGGTTAATTTACAATACCTACAAGAACGCAACTATGTCGGTGAAACTACATGAAAACACGGATCAAATCCCAATCGGCAGAGGAGTCCGACAGGGTGATACCTTATCGCATAAACTGTATACCGCAGTACTAGAATATGCTTGTAAAAGCTTAACTGGGAAGAGAAAGGCCTGAACATTGACGGTAGAAGATTAACAAATTTGAAATTCACAGACGACATAGTTTTGTTCTCGGACAACATCAAGGAGATATATACAATGCTACACGAAGTTCAGTTAGTGTGTGCCAGTGTGGGTCTTAAAATAAACATCTTTAAAACAAAATTCATGACAAACCTAGTACCTAGCGGAAATATCAATATTGGAGACAACGAAGTAGAGCTAGAGGAAAAATACATATATCTTGGTTACGAAATAAAGATCACAAGAGACAACCAAACATGCGAACTACGAAGAAGAATAAACCTAGCATGGGCAGCCTATGAAAAACTCAAAGACATCTTTAAAAGCGATATACCAATTTCTTTAAAACGTAATACATTTGACCAATGTGTGTTTCCTGTGATGACCTATGGTGCGGAAACTTTGACATTGACAGCTACAAGTTCTAAAACGCTGCCAATAGCTCAGAGGAAAATGGAAAGATCGATGCTGAGTATATCGCTTCGTGACCGAGTTAAAAATGAAGACTTAAGATGAAGAATAGGAGTTACCGATGTAATTTCCCGAATTGCCACACTGAAATGGGACTGGGCCGGACACGTCGCTCGAATCACTGATGAAAGGTGCACAAGAGATTGCTTGAGTGAAGGCCGAGGTTAGACAAAAGAAGGAGAGGATGACCCCCTACACGTTGAACTGACGATCTCAATAACATGTCAAGAAATTGGATGAAAAGTGCACAAAATAGAGCACAATGGATAACAATAAGGGAGATTCAGAGTGATACTCAGACAAATAATAAATC